CCGGTTCTAGGGTTCATCGCCGCCATGGATATTCTGTTTCAAAGCACCTTTAATTTTTTTTCTGCTGCAGAATTCTAATTTTTTCAAAGCTGTGTAGAAATTAGGGTTTGGTGGAGCTCATATATAAACATTCAAGACAACCTCGTCATATATTAATATGCATGCAGGTTGGTGGTTGTTGATAGGTTAAATACATTATTAAATGTAAATAAATATAAATCAAACAATTGAATAAATAGGGTTTGCTTTTTGTCAGCTAGTAAATCTCTTGTACAAAGTTTCATGCAAAGGGATAAAATCACTGCGTTTTTTTCCTCTACGAGTTTATTTATTTTCCTCTATAAATCGCTTTCACGCTTTTGGTATTTTTCTCTGCACCTGATTTTATATGTTCTTTAATTTGTTTCCTCAAATCAACCAGATCAATGTTCAGAATTAATTATACAAAACATACATAAAATGCAATAAATATATAGTTGAATAACTTCTTCAGACCTCCTTAACCTGAATCACCCCCTTCCAAGGAATGAACTCGAACAAATAAGTTCGGTAAAAGCGCATCCCAGTCGCTTTCCGAAAATCACGCCAACCCTTTGCGAAATCAAGCCTGAAACCATTTTTATTCAGCCTCATATTCGGCGACCTAAAATCGAGCACCACGCTCGAACAATACCCGCCCGGCTGGTACTCCAAAACCACCCTCTTCTTACCTATCAAACCAGCCTCCTCCGCATAGTTCTTGCATATGCTCTATACAAATTAAATTAAATCAATCATAAGCAAAGAAAAAAAGAAACACAAATTAGTGAAATATTAATATATTTTTTTAATTGATTAATTACCACTCTCGAAATATGCGAACGCTGCAAAACGATGGCGAACTTAGGGTTGATCACGTTCGTCTCTTCTTCTTGTTGTTCGAGCAGCTCGTCTTCTGAGGAGTCGTCGTCAACAACGACGTAAGGATGTGGGAAGGAATATTCCTTCCCACACCCGTCGGACCCCCATGCAGTAACGTCGAAGGTCGAATTGTCGTCGAACGTGAAACCGATAAAATCGGAGCGCTCGAGCTTCAAATCTCGGGCGAAATCTTCCCAGCCCTTGGTGAAGTAGTAATGCCCGTCGTCCGCTTGCTCGACTTTTACGTCCCATGTTTCTCCCGAACCGATCCTCAGCCTCATGTTTTCGGTTAGGATATTTTTGTGTTTCTGTCCGAAAGCTAGCGGAACTTTCTGCACACACACACACACAATATTTAATTAAAACTTCAAAAAAGAAAAAAAAAATTGATTAATGGATCAGAAGCTCACCAGTGATCTAGTGAAATCATTGTGGATCAGGATCTGGAAAAAGGAAGGCTTAGTTGTACTCTTCCTTTCCATGGTTGTACCCTTCTGCACAGTTTGATTTTGCAAAAAATATATATATATATATATATATATAGCAAGCTAGCACAGTTCAAATAAAAATTTCAATTAAAAAAATCATTGACACAGTACCAAACATTTTCAGGAAATAAATTACCAGAATCTTATCCTTAAAATTCCAGCAGCATCTTTTTCCGAATAAATAAAATCTAACATTGCAAAAAATAGTTTCTATAAAATAAGAATTATAAACATGCATCTATATATTCTGATGTGCGGGGAATTTCGTCCAACAAGTGATTTATATATATCGATACTGTTTAGGTGTGAACACGGGCGGGTTTGAGGAAAAACAAAACCCGACCCGAAACAGTCGGGTTACTAAAACCACAACCCGCACCTGCCTAGTTATTCTTGAAAACCGCACAGTTCGGGTTCGTCGGGTTGGGCAGTTAGCAGGCGGGTTGCGGGCAACATCAGTTGAGTAGAAATAAGCTAATTCTTATACAACTAAAATTTTCAAAAACGGACAAGCAATAATACAGACATACATATAAAAGAGATTCCAACTGAACCCGTGAAGAAATAGAAAGTTAAGACCGAAATGATTCCACAATCTAAAGTGTTTGAGTTTATAACACCTGCCATGAAAATGAAAATGAAAATGAAAATGAAAATCTTTTTATTCCTCACATGAAAATTTAGATCTGCTGCCGGTGGAAGAATATAATCGAGCTGTGTTGCCGATGGTGGTGAATCTAGCAGCGGTTGTGGATTGTAAAAAACGAGAAGATGGGAAAGAAAAAGCTGAATTATCAGATTTATACTTAAATTATGGGTATGGGTGCGGGTCGGGTTCAAAGCGGGTTTCAGTAACATAACCAGCCAACGGACCCGTACTGTGCGGGTTTCTCACTTTTCAAACTGCTGTACAAATAATAAATTTTAAAACATGCGGGTTTTGGGCCTAATCGATATTTTCACATAGTTGATTTATCATTTTGTTATAAATATTCATGCACTACGTACAACCTGTATAAATTTATATAAAGCATGGCATATTTAATTAAAAAGTAATCAATGAAGTAAGAGATCGATGAATCGCGACTTACGACTGATCGAGTGACGAAGTTTCTCCCGGTTCTAGGGTTCATCGCCGCCATGGATATTCTGTTTCAAAGCACCTTTAATTTTTTTTCTGCTGCAGAATTCTAATTTTTTCAAAGCTGTGTAGAAATTAGGGTTTGGTGGAGCTCATATATAAACATTCAAGACAACCTCGTCATATATTAATATGCATGCAGGTTGGTGGTTGTTGATAGGTTAAATACATTATTAAATGTAAATAAATATAAATCAAACAATTGAATAAATAGGGTTTGCTTTTTGTCAGCTAGTAAATCTCTTGTACAAAGTTTCATGCAAAGGGATAAAATCACTGCGTTTTTTTCCTCTACGAGTTTATTTATTTTCCTCTATAAATCGCTTTCACGCTTTTGGTATTTTTCTCTGCACCTGATTTTATATGTTCTTTAATTTGTTTCCTCAAATTATTTCATTTTGTTCCTTTAATTTAATTACCAGCTAAAAAAAAAAATTAATTACCAGCTGTATATTGTTCATTCTTTCTTTAATTTCACACTATATTTATTATGTTTTCCCTTATTCACAATAAATTAATTACTAACGGTCGGAAATTTTAGAATGCCAACGTGGATTATTTAAATGATGTTTCTTCCATTTAATTTGGTATACAATACAACTTCATCATGATCATCTAATTAAATTAAAATGATTACAGATATTCATCTTGAGCTAATGTAAGTTGTACACCAAATTAAGCTAAATTAAAGATTAATTACTATATAGTTTATTTTATTTTTAATCATAAACTCGAATATTTTTATTCTCATTGCATCAAATATATTGGAAACATAGACAAAAAGAATATAATAACTAAATAAAGCAAATATAATAGATTTTATTATTATATTTTATTTATTGAGATTTGAGATGCATCTCATTAATTATTATTTATTAGTCTGACGAGAAATGACTTGACATCGATATATATATGATTAACATCAATTTTTGCAAGAAAGGTGCTAATAAAAATTCACCAAATAATTATTTTAAGGGGAAACTACAGATAAATCCCAAATCCAAAACTCAACACACAGATCAGTCCCTAGGTAATTTCCCCAAGCAATTCAGTCCCTACTCACGCGCCTAACATGCAGTTCAGTCCCTAATAAAATGTGCAAATACTAAAATACCCTTTACTTTATACTAATTTTGCATAACTCATTTTCAACCTCCTACGCGCCGTTTGTGTTACACGCTCTTTGTCCGTTACATTTCAAAAATCAAACAACAAGAAAGAAGCTAAAAAGGCGCAGGAAAAAACCACCGTTCAGTTTATACCCATTTACAGACAAAGAAGAAACAGAGAAGAAACGAAGAACAAAGAAACAACAAAGAAGGAAGAAACAACGAAACACGAAGAATCAACAAAACGCAGAAAAATTGTAAAACGAAAGGAAAAATAAAAATAAACAAACCCATTTATCGACAATGGTGAAGCAGGGTAAACAACAAGGTTTGATTTTTTTTTCTTTCATTTTCTTGGAAACAGACCCATTTGGGTGTTGCTTAAGCTTGCAAAAAGGTTTATTTGTTGTAGAATTGCATGATTTTGAACATATCCTCTCATGGGTATTATGCATCGACTTTATTCGGTGTTTTCCCTAATCATTAAATCGGTTCCAATATCTGTTTTCTGTTGTTTGGGTTTGCAAAGATCATTTATTTGTTGTCGAATTTCATGATTTTGTAATAGTTTCCTCATGGGTATTATTCTTCGGTGACATTAGCATGTCCCCAAAGCATTTTGAGTCCTAACAAGGGTTTCATATAGGATATGGGAAAGAGGCTTATTGTATTTTTCGTACTGGTTCTATAGTATGTGTCATGCGCAGTAATGGTATTAATAGTGCATTTAGATGGTATTGACACAGGGTACTCGAAGTACTGTCCCGAAAGCATTTAGTCCCAACAAGGGATATGTCATATGTAATAATGGTATTGCTCTTGACTTCGGACAGTATTAAATAATTCATATTTAAACAATTCATCGGCTAATTTAGTAAATGAGTTTGGATTTAGATTATGTAAGGGCATATTCTGTAAAGATTCCAACGGAGGGTAATTCATTTATAGTACTAGTAACTGATTTCACTACAAAGCATCCTCAGTTGCACAATAAGCATGACTTTCTGTTTTATTCACAAGTGCCTACGAAAGCCACCCCGAGAAATTACGCATCGAAAAAAGAAAAAAAAAACGGTTATTCGGAAGTGTGTTCCATGCAAATTAGGATAAGTTAAAAGCAGTTACATAGCCCCCATCACGCATTCCATACAAGGACGATAGTATGAAGAAGAAGACAAACCATACATACGTAAACGAGAGGATTTTTTTACATGTTCATCTCGTGTCATTTTTAACAAAATATGTGACGAGATTTTGCTTGCTTCAACTTCACACCACAGAGTATAGACGACAGACTAATTAATTCTACTAGAAGTTCTAAAATGGGTTTTACGAGCCCGGAAGAAAGAAAAATAAACTAGGTTTAGTAGCTCTCTCACAGAGTCGGTTGATGAGAAAAAATATCTCCCGATTCGTCTACTTCCTCCTCTTCTTGTGTCTCTGTTTTGGTACTCTGCTCCAAATACTCCACTTCGATGGTTTCTTTAAGGATGAAAAGTCTCTGTATGACAACGGGTTGACTCAATTTCCTGGCTTCCCTAATTTCGCTCTCTTCTTTACTCAGATTATATGCGTCGAGCATTATCTTGATCCACTTGTGCAGCTCCTTCGGTGTTCTGCCACGTCAGATGGAAAGAAATTGATCCTCAATATAAATTCACAAGCATTAAACAATTTACAATAAAGAAATAAATTATTATTACGTGTATATAGCATTTGATTCTTTGACATTATTAGGATTGTCGCCTGGGCAGAATGCAGTGGCTAATGCTGAAAATCGCTCTTCCGGGTCCGTGATGTTCAGCAAATATTTGAGCAGTTTGATTTCTTTCGGTGCGATACTTCTCAAACTACTTTGAGTTGCCTTGTATAAACGGTACATTATATCTTTCACCTGCAAAAAAACAAAACTTAGCTTGTTTTTTAACCGTACGAAAAAATATCAACCAAGTTCTTGAGGAAATGGAAAAGTAGTATAACACAATAAGGCCTCGTTTGGTTGGGAGGATTAGCCGTGATTAATTAATTAATTGGACTTTGTTTAATGTTTGGTAAACCCAATAGATTTCCGGGTGGACTCTGAAATATTAATTTATCATGATCTATCTTAGAAAGATTTTTTATTGGACCTTCCCACAGTAAAATAATACGATTGGGTTTTCAACTTTTCATTAGATTATTTAATTTTATCTTGGATAATCTTATCATAGAAACCAAACGACGCCTAAGTCATTTTGCAGGTTTTTAAACATAACACATTATCTTTTGGTGGCAAGATAAAATTAACCAAGACAAGATTATGCAATCTAATGAGACCCCAATTGTATAATAGCTCATTTCGATAATTGTGGGGCAACCCAAAAAGTTGCTGCACTAACCAAACATCACATAAAACCTAATTATTTAATTAATCATGTCTTATCTTACCAACCAAACGAGACCTTACTGTCATCCTCCACGTTCACCGATAAGCTTTACGATTGAGGAACATATGTTCCTAATTTTATTTTTTTCGGAGGAGAAAAAGAAATTGATACCTCGTTTTTAATGGTAGGAGAATCCTTTGCAGAAGCCCAAGCACCGTTTATCAACAGAATCAAAGAAGAATCGAGCTCCTTTGACTTGGCTAGGCTTTTAATCTTATCACACGCAGCATCTACTGAAGGAGAATTCAAGATTTCGTCGAACTTCTCCTGGGCAGTGTCTAAAGTATCCACAATATCCAAAGTGTTGTCGAAAGCACTGACTGCAGATAAGCATCTGGCTCCCAGACGAGCAAGCCCTGCTCGATGAAACGAACACAAGTTTATCTCTTATTTTTGCATGGAATTCTTTTATTCAAGTTTCACCGTATTGTGACTCCACAAATTATCGAAATATGCATCGAATCTGATATGATATTAAAAATTTGCCTATCTGTGTTACTTGGGTTAGATTTGATAAATTGAAGAAGCGTTACCATCTCGATCTTCCAAACTGTCGTAGGTTTCGGAGAGCAAAGTGAGGTGGCGAAAGAAGTCCCCCGTAAAATCCCTTCGTCTCTTTGCCACAATAGCATTTATATCCATCGGACTATCTTGTATCTCTTTGAAAAGTTCGTCATGGATTAAACAAAGATGCCATGAAACCTCGATCAATTACGACTCGTGCATCGGTCATCGGCACACTCTGCAACGAACGTAAAATGTAATAATAAAATTAATCACTGTTTTTTTTTTTTCATTGTTGATTAATTACTTACCAACAGGAACTTATAAGAAACATAGGACGGGCGCATGACAGAAACGAAGAACGGGTTTTCGAAAGTGCTACTGTTATTCGACGTGAAATCTAATGCTTTCCGATAGGCGATGCATCTTTCTCCATTTCAAGTGTCCTGCATTCGTCTGCAAATACATCATTTCGTCGAAAAAAAAAATTAAAACATCACTAATTATAAACACACAAAGAGAAAAAAAAAATCTACGATCGTTTCGAATTGGGGATGAAGCTCGATCGATATTCAAGGTTGCGTTTTTCCCTAACCGATTTCCTCGGTGGAGAGCTATCTGAGATTTCGATTGTTTTATCACAATCATCATTGAACGGTGGATATTCAATCTCAGAAGCAGTTGCATTGAAAATGACAACATCCGAACTAGGATTCACCATTGTATTCAAACATCATGAAATACCCAAATCCTCACGAGAAACGCTCTTTGAATCCACGCCATAAAACTGAACCAATTCCACCTCCAAACCCGACCCGTTTGGGAACCCTCAGCGAAACCCGACCCGGCAGAGTTTTATCCGTAACACCTTCGCCTAAACGAAGCCGGGATTCTCTCCGATTAAAAAATCGAGTTCTAAACAAATTGCTTGCTCCAAACCCTAGAAATCCCCCACATTATAATACTCTGTACATTTGCTGGAAATTTGGAAAATGGTACTTACTAGGCTGTCTGATTTAGGGTCCACTATAACCTTGGCAAAACGTGGCGGCGGCGGCGGCGCCACCGCCGGGAACTGGAAGCCATTCCGGAGAAGTGTGATATGATTGGAAGAAAAATGGGGTTTTTTTTTTTGCAATAATAAATACTGATTTGATGAAATACTAATCGCCATTCCCCAATTTCTTTTCCTCTTTTCATTAAAATTTATGATTAAGACTAATTGTTGTCATTATTCTTTACATTAATATTCTCCATTAATTGTGTATATGCAGCTCTGGAGCTAGCTATTTATACTGTCACATCTGCAATTTTTTTACATCCAGTAATTTTTCTTTACATGTCAAACTGCTATAAAGAACTTGCATTGATTGAAGTTCAGTTATGTTTGCAAGATAACAGAGTTGCTATATTCTTGATTTTACTCATGTTCTTAGATCGAATTCGACTCCACACTGTTATTATTGACCATTTCGCCCTCCCCAATATGAAAATTGAAAATCAAAATTCATCTATTTACCTACTTAATGAAATTAATTGTGGTGTGATTGCAGAAATTCATATTGGCAAATGTAAATTGTGCATGCTGCACACATGCAAAATTTAAGATTACTTGCTAGCTAATTAATTAACACAAGTAATTACTAATATATATAAATTATAATTAGCACTCCAACTGTTGCATGTGATTAAGTAATTAACTTGTGATCAACCAGATCAATGTTCAGAATTAATTATACAAAACATACATAAAATGCAATAAATATATAGTTGAATAACTTCTTCAGACCTCCTTAACCTGAATCACCCCCTTCCAAGGAATGAACTCGAACAAATAAGTTCGGTAAAAGCGCATCCCAGTCGCTTTCCGAAAATCACGCCAACCCTTTGCGAAATCAAGCCTGAAACCATTTTTATTCAGCCTCATATTCGGCGACCTAAAATCGAGCACCACGCTCGAACAATACCCGCCCGGCTGGTACTCCAAAACCACCCTCTTCTTACCTATCAAACCAGCCTCCTCCGCATAGTTCTTGCATATGCTCTATACAAATGAAATTAAATCAATCATAAGCAAAGAAAAAAAGAAACACAAATTAGTGAAATATTAATATATTTTTTTAATTGATTAATTACCACTCTCGAAATATGCGAACGCTGCAAAACGATGGCGAACTTAGGGTTGATCACGTTCGTCTCTTCTTCTTGTTGTTCGAGCAGCTCGTCTTCTGAGGAGTGATAAGTGTTCGTTTTGCACGATTTTTGCTTATCAAATCTTCGAGTTTTGGTCTTCGTTCGTCCGAGTTTCGGCTTTATTTGTGTATATTATTGCGTTTCTTGTTTTATTTCCTTTTTTAGGTTTTGTTAGCTTTTGTTGCCAAGTCGAAGCCATTTGGAAGCGAAACCGATTTTTTCAAGCCGAGAAAGTGGTCATTAAGACCCAGATCGCGATCCAGGAAAGCCGGATCGCGATCTGGGGGCAAATTCCAGTAGTGTGCAAAGTTCAGACCCAGATCGCGATCCAGGAAAGTCGGATCGCGATCTGGTGACAAATTCCAGTGGCAGACAAGATTCAGACCCAGATCGCGATCCGCACTTCCTGGATCGCGATCTGGGAGGCGGTTCGCGTTTTTTTTAAAGAAGCCATATCGCGATCTGGCTTTATTGGATCGCGATCTGGCACGTTTTTCAAAGATAGATATTTTAAATTGCAAAGCTTCTTGAGGAAGCTTTGCAATTTACTATAAATAGAAGCTAGCCCTCACTCTTCATCTTCTT